GCAGTGAAACATGGGGAGGAAGGGGGGGTGGGAATTTTTTCATTTGAAGAGCTCTGGCCAGTGATTAAAAATTGTTTTGGAAAATTTAGGTGCACATGTAGCTTAGACAAGTAGCTCCCAACACTTTAAACCGCTCACCACCTCTGCCATATTGAGTGGTGAGTACTGCTAACTTATCAATGCAGGTGGACTCCTAAAACTAAGCCCAGGTATAATCACAAAGTAACCAATGGTACTAGAGATTGATTACAGTTTATACTATTACCAGTTCATGGAGTACATATCACACATCAACTAAACCATTCTTTCATTTATGAACATACACTTTTACCAGCAATTAATTTTATTTTGACACTATATTCAGATATGCATAAGAATTCCTACTAACCTTGAAACAAATAACTAATAGTGGATGGCCAGGGTGATTTAAGATTTAATTCATTGCTAGCAAATAACAGCAAGTTAGCCGTCAATCCATAGAAGGTCAAACGTTCACATAACTCTGTGAGAAGAATGCAGCTGGTGACGAGGATCTTTTGACGATGCCCCAGTCGACAATTACTAACTAGAGCATTAGCCCTGTACTCTTTGGGAGCTGAAGGGCTTCTGTTGTCACCTGAGATAAGTGGAGAATTCACATCTTCAGCACTTGCTTCTAGTGACATGTTGAAGAGTCAGATCAGCAATGGCACCATTTCTGCAATATAAACAGCAGACTTTAAGCGCCTTAACCCTGTAAACCAGAATGTAATTTCTCTTAATAGTAATATTGCTAAATCATTCATCAAGATCACAAAAAAAAAAGAAAATGATTTTCAACCATAAAAGCTTTGATTATTACCCAAATTCTCCATGTCAGTACCAAAGGAAATGTATCAAGAAGGGTATAGAGAACATAGATACTGATGTTAGGGTGTAAAGGTTTACTTTGTAGATCCAGCCAAATTTTATAGCTACAATCCATTTTGACAATGTTAACTGTGTTTCAATGTATTCCATTCCTCCTAAGGTTGCACATCTAGTTAGCCATTATTATCACCCTGCACCCTGCTTGTAGTGCCATATTACTGGGGTATAGATATCACTTTTTCTCGGCTTAATGAGTTACAATATAGTTATACTTTCTAGAGTTCACAGTGCTTTGCAGCTAAAAGCTCAGCTGTCTTTGCATATGGCAGACATTTCAAATTTAAAGATTCAAAAGTTGCTCCTATACATAGCAGTCTTACATGTTTGTATATTAAGAGTAGACTGAGACAGAAACTAAGCATAGAAAGTGATAGAGGAACAAAGACCTGAGAAAGATTATTTTTTAGCATGAATAGGCAGCTGTATGCAGATTTAGGAGTTTTTACCCTTTAACTCCCAAAAGGGATTAACATGTAACCTCTCCTTATAATATCCAAACATTATCCACCATTTGAACATGTATGAGAATACTGAAACTTATCAGGTAGAAGTTGTTATCTGGATCTTACGCCAAATTCTTGTAGCTTATTTAGAGGGAAATGTGTAGCAGATGGAGGGGAGGATTAGCAACCAGATCTTGGGAGTTAATGGGTGAAAAGAAGAATGTGTGGGTCAAAATATACATTAAATAATGTTGTGTAGTGATTTGAAAAACAAAACAATCACACAGATATTAAATGAGTGTAATGCCTGAAAGTAGTGTTGCTATTTCTCTTCATCTTGTCCAAGAAGGGCAATCAATTTTTCTAGGGAAGGAAGGGCGTTCAGGTAAAAAAAATCCATTAAATAATTTGTTCTGCAGTTATTTTGAGACAAGAGAAATTCCCATATGTACATGAACGTATAAATAAACTGAATAATAGAAAGGAGTGTAGTTAATTTTCTTGATCTTAATTAAAGAGTAAAATGTTAATTTCATTGCGTCCAATATGTGCAAATAAAGCTTTCACTTCCTCTTACAAGTGGGTATTACACACTGTACAGTAGTAGCTGACTTTCTCTACCAGGAGGCAAAAGCAAATATCACTTTGTCTATCTGCGGGTCATTCAAAGCTCCCGTCCCTTCGATCCCTTAAACAATTCAGCATCTTAATAAACAAAATTAGAACAAAGAAAAATTTACAATCCTCTATTTTCTCGTCAGCTATTGTGACCGTCGCCTAAACGAAATGACACGCGCGTCTACATCAAAACAAACCACTCTTGAAACTGAAGGTCCTACATTTCGCTGGTCACGAGGAAAGGATATACAAATATGCTAAAGCGAGCCGAACAGCCCTACATACCGCCTTTGATGACTGGCTTGGAGGGTGGTTGAGTCTAGAAGATCATGCAGTTCCTTACTTCTGATCAGCGAAGGAAAAAATATTAATTACTATTACTGAAATATACGAGAGCATAAAAACAATCAAATGTTGACTGTCTACCAGTCTTTGGCAGCAAACGACGTATTCTGCAGTTCTATAATATTAAATGAGGGGGAATACCTCTTTCTTACTCTTTTCCTGGTACAAAGATCGGCTCTGAGAATCGCAACTTAAGCAGACTTCTTTGTCATGTGAGAATCACAATGGAAACACAGCCTAGTGACCTGGCCTGATTAATAGTCACGCAAACAAACTCATTTTGTCACGCTAGCCATTAATAGACTGCTAAATGTTGATAAGCGTCTGATTGCCATTTGACATGGGAAAATTAGTCAAAAGTTCCATAAGATACTATTTAAAATGAGTTTAAAAACGCTGATATGGCTGTGCGAGACGAGACAAGCTATATATCTTCAAATTGACTTTTTCAAGTTCATTTGATTCTTCTAAGAATTAGCTAGTATGATGTTATTAACTTCAAGTTATTGACGTGGCTGAAGAAGCCTGTGAGGGCGAGGCAAGCGCGAGGCTAGGAGAGCGTGAAGCGAGCGCAAGGGTACGTCAATAATAACTATTATTTATAATTTCACTTTTGCTGAGTAAATCACTTCATTTTCAGGTTCTACACGTCATTTTTTAAAAATAACACAGGCGTTACTCACGTTTCAACCAATGAGCTGGATGTCTTAAGGATATCATCATGACAAGATAATTTAACCCTTTAACTCCCATGAGTGACTTAGAGAGAATTTCTCCTTACAATATCAATACAACATCAAGCAAAGACGTGATGAGAATAAAGTAAAATATCAATTAGAGGATTATTCATCGATCCAATACCAAATTCTCCAAATTGACATCATAAGAATTGAATGGTGGACAGTAAGGAGAATTATTAATGAGATCTTGGGAGTTGAAAGGTCAATAAAGAAGGAGGGAAGGTAGACGAGGAAAACCTCTTCCTCTACTTCATTGTCGAGCTCAGAATTTATAATAATGTATATGGTTTCCCAGAAGGCTGAGGCTAAATGCTGTAATCTCAGAAACGTCATTGTGTGTTCATGAGATATGAAGCATGATTTAATTTCAATATGCATCTATCATTGTTGTGGTTTTTTGTTCGTTGAAAATTTATGTAACTGTTCTTGTCTCTATAGCGCCTATTTTGGAAAAAAAGATGGTTTATCAAGGTTAACTAAGCACTGAGTTCCTCATCATTTTGATATATGGGAAAACAACACTCAAACGAATGCGTAAAAAATGTTATTGTTTAAGAATAAGTTCAGACGTAAACTGTGGGTATATCGAAATATGAAACGCCAATTTCGTTTCAAGTTTCTCTCGGCTACATTTATAGCCAATTACTTCACTTAGTTTGACAATTCTCAGAAAGTAATTGTCGTTTGACAATTCTCAGAAAGTAATTGTCGTGACCCTCACATGATAAGTAGAATAGCTAGAAAATTGAAATTTCAATTTTGTTTCTCTTCGGAATTTCACATACTTAGTCGGTATCAACTGACATTTTTTCCTTCGTGATTTGGGTAAGCATTTGGCGTTGGATATTTTTTGACCCTCAATAAGACGTTCACATTGCACTGACAAGTGCTGGTGAGTTTATGGGGATATTTTTCAAATCGTGTGGGTTGGTTTTCCTGTTTGGGATAGTTTTATCCACTCATAATTTCGTGTTTGTTAAAGTACATTTTAGGTTTATTTATCAAACTACCCTTCTGTAACATTTTACATGAAAAATGTCGAAGGGCAGGTACCCAGTAACATTTAGCCTCCGCCCTCTCCCCTTAGCATTTTATCGTTGAATTCGAAAAAAATTAATTATTTATTGCTTTTAGTTTTCACTAAGAAGTGCGCCGGTTAAGTCATGCCCACTTTGAGGAATGGATTGCGTGACAAGAATTGAATATAGGTTGGTTCTCTTGTGACTCTCTTGTATGAGATAATTTTATCCATTTATAACTTCGTGTTTGTTAAAGTACATTTTTAATTTATTTATCAAACTACCCTTCTGTAACATTTTACATGAAAGATGTCCAAGGGCAGTTACCCGGTAACATTTCACCTCCGTCCTCCCCCCTTAGCATTTTATTGTTGAATTCGGAAAAAATTAATTCTTTATTGCCTTTAATTTTCACCAAGAAGTGCACCGGGTAAGTCATGGATTGCGTGACAAGAATTGAATATAATGTAATCAACAATCTCAAGATATTCCAATACAGGCGTGACACGCGTTTCAACCAATGAGCTGGATGTCCAAAGGATGGCATCATGTCAAGATAAATTAATAGGATAGGAGAGAACGCAGACCAAAACACCTCTTGTTGTACTTCATTGTCGAACTCATAATTTACTATCTATGTCAGAGTTAAATGTAGATGATTTCTCAGAGGGCGGAGGCTAAATGCTGCAATCGTAGAAACGTCATCGCGCGTTCATCGGGATATGAAGCATGATTTAATTTCAATATGCATCTATCATTAGTTTTTTTTTTGTTTGTTGAAAATTTATGTAACTGTTCTAATCTTGTAAGCGCCTGTTTTGGCAGAAAAAAAGATGGTTTATCAAGATTAACTTGGCACTGAGTTTCTTATAATTTTGATATATGGGAAAACAACACTCATTCGAATGCGTAAAAAATGTTATGGAACAATTGATTCATACTTAAACTGTGGGTATATCGAGATGAGAAACGTAAAATTAGTTTGAGTTGCTCTCGGCTACGCATACACCTCTAGGAATTTCATGCTTATAAAGTACTTTGCCCATGGTTCGCAATGCAGAATGTTTGAGATATCCCGGGATCGAGAAGTTACACTGATCACTAACACGTTTACACAGAACTGATTCAACACAATTCTCATTCCCTTGTTTTATTCTGCAGAATAATTCTGTTTAGGTAAATATAGAATGTCAGCCAAAGAGGATTCAATGTCCGAACGCTCTCTGTTAATCCTAAAAGAACAAGATCACGGGCACCGTTGGAATGATGTGGAGACAGGTGCCTTCTTCCTTCATAGCAGCTTGAGTCGTCGGCAAAGGGTTGTGAACGCAATATGTATTCTAGTAATGAAGTTGTGTGAGCGCTTGACCCTCTTTGGAGTTGTTGCAAATTTGTTGTTATTTTGTAGGAATGTGTTAAAACTTGACTCGCCATGGCCGTCGACAATCGCCCTCTCGTTACAAGGTTGGTTCACGCTATCATCATAAAATTATTTAGAAGTTAGAGCGCCTTTCAATTGAGTGTCTTAAAACCAAACCAAACGAACCGATAAGAAGAGAGGAAAATACCCCAAAGAGGCAATGAGTAAAAACATCCAAACTACCTATAGCGCAGGAAAACGTGGGCGACTAAGTCGTAATTGGTTTTAATTTTTCTTCGGATTGGTTCGGAAAGAGACGCGATTAGTTTTATGAACCAAGCACAGGGAATACCGAAGCAAAACCCAGAATACTTTTAACACTCAATTGAAAATTGCTGTAATGTCTCGGTTAAATCTGACTGTGCCAATGAAAGATTCAAATATTGCTATTGTTGTTGCTGTTTGATTTTTCCTGCGTTATACTGGTTTGAACCTAAGGGTAATGACAATTCATCGAGTAGTCTGATCTTCGATCAACACTTATTTAAGATGGTTAAACAGCGAACGAAAGGAGGAGAACGCTTATACTCCCTGATAGATCGATACTTACCAATCACGACCTATTTAGGCCACTCGAGTCTTCCAGCCGACAGGATCACGGTAGAACTGACCGTTGGTGAAAACGATCCAGGCTTAAAACAGTAAACTGTCTGACAACTCCTCACTGAACTCTGACGACAACTTCCCGAAAGGTTCTGGGAACGTCTGTCACCACTACCGACAACAGTTCTTCCTGGGACGATAAGAAAAATTTATGCTTTTTCGTCTCCCAAAATTGCTTGATGTCCCCTAACTTGTTTACCCCTTGGAGTATCCAACATCTTAGTTTTCCTTACATTAACACTAGCGAATTAAACATTGAGGTCTAAAGAATAAAGGTAAAGATCAATATTTTAATAAGCTCATGACTGTTCAGCAAGTTCTCCTAGTCACCTGAGGAAAGTACCAAAGGAAATGTATAGATAACAATTTAAAAACTTTCTATTCAAAAAGTTTTCGCGCCAACTAATTGACAATCAGAACTGTCTCTGTGTCGTATCATACAATTATCCTAGCCGTCAGGTGTGTTCATGTTGTCCTTTCTTCGTTTGATTTTCACGTACCTTGTTTGTTATCATTGTTCGTTAAAATTTGAAAATCTATCGGTGCGTTCGCTACAACAATTACTGCACCCGGCCCTTCCGGACTGAACCTTCTTTAACGAGCTATCACCGGGGAAGGGAGGGGGAAAGTTTTAAAGAACAAGATTTTGAAAAGATGCCTTAAGGCATAGTTTCGACTGTCATTTTATTATTTTCCTTTTCATAGGAATGTGCTATCTTACTCCTTTACTCGGAGAGTGACTCGCTGACACTTACTTCGGTCGGTTTAACACCATTTATGGAAGCTCTTTATTGTATTTTGTTGGAGTCGTGCTTCTGGCTGCAGCATCAATTCCTGACGATCTACTGGGGGTAGAGTTTGATGAAACAGCGAGAACGGTGTACTTTATCGTGGCCCTTGGGATTATAGCATTTTGCACGGGAGGAATCAAAGCCAATGTGTTAGCCTTTGGAGCAGATCAGTTGAAACAGGATGGTCCAAGAGCTGTCCAGACCTTTTATAGCTGGTTTTACTGGTTTATAAACATTGGAGCCTTAATAGCTTATACAGTAATAGTGTGGGTCCAGCAATCGGACGTTTTCTTTGGTTATGCCATCTTAATTGGTACAATACTCCTTGCTCTGGTTGCATTTTTTGCCCGTCGTAGCAAGTACGTGGTAAAGCCTCCACGTCGTAGCCAGCTGACGGAAACTGCAAAAATTCTATGGGAAGGTATAAAAAAACGAAGAAAGAACACAAGTCGCTGGATGGATGGAGCAAAGATAAGATTTGGCGGAAGTTTCAGTGATGCCCAGGTTGAAGACGTGAAGGCATTATTGAGAGTAGTACCAGTGTATTTTACATTCAGCGTCTACTTCGTAATTTTCTCTCAGGTGAGGTTTTTCTACCCTAACCCTCTATTCCCTAAT